CATTCACATATCGATATGCTGTGCACTGCAGGCATACTGCATACGTTTCGCTCTGCATGGCAGAAATTAGCATGGCCCTTCCATGTGGGCAAGCCAGCAGAAAAGTCAGCTGACACCATAGAAGATTGCCTGGACTCCAAGCCCCCGTCCACCAGGTCAACGGAATGCATTACTAATGGTCTTCGCCACCGCCATCAGTCTTAACTTGGTAGGGGGGCTGTGGACGATGATGATTGGATGGGTAGTGGCCATGATGTTGTCTATGCTGGTTGGGAAGCAGATGTCTATGGTGGCAGTTATAGCCAGCTCACATGCTACATTATGTTAAGACTTTTTGGGAAAAGTGGTCGGTTCGGACATGGTAACTATAAGTCTAAAGTGACTGAGGGGGGTTGAATTTCGTCAAATGCTGACCCCTCGTACCCTTGTACTGTTACCTGAATTGCATCGCCAATTTTGTGAGCTATAACAAACAGCCAAGCCCAATCGCTTATAAAGACCACATATTTGATAAATTGTGCACGCTTTGCACTCTTGACTGAATTTCTAGTCACACCGAATGTCACACGCTCAAGCTCTGCCACTGAGCATCGAACATATCTTCAGGTTATGAATTGTGACCGCGAGGGCAAATGCCATCGCGGCTTGTGCGGGATGCAGTGCCATTGCAGTAGGCAGGGCTGCCAATAACCCTTCAATTGTATATTGCGATTCTAAGGGGATGTGCCGAAGTTTTGGCCATTGAAAGACAAAATGGAGATGGTTTACACAGCTTGCGCCAATGAACACAACATTGTTGTAATGTCCCATGTGAACTGGGTGACTTAGTAACATAGCATGTGAATCCAGTATTATGCAAGGGCTAGCCTCCTGCAGGTATAAGACCCCTGCGATTGTAGCGTTGGCCAAGGCAACAGCATTTAAATGCTGTTATGGTGTTGTTGTAGGTGTAGTCTTTTTTTATATTTGCCAGCTTTTTTTCCTGGCGGTTAGTTGGTGGCTAGGCATAAAGCTGGCTGACCAGCTTCTATTTGTTGTGATTAGCTTGGCATTCATTGTTGGAAGAGTATGTGAGCATATGGCCTGTCTGCCTTATTGGTTTTGGTGCCAAGTGTGATCTTTCTGTACCGGTATAAGAGAGGGTGAACTTTCTATTCTCTTTGGTCTGGAAAGCTCATTGTGTAGTGAGTTCATATCTGAGCATAGCTGCAGGATGTACTTGTAAGACTCTGGAAATTACTTGTGCTTCTGATCCACTTTGCCATCTGTAGGCTCTTAGCTGCCTCTATTAAAATGCTTACTGCCTCTATTAAAACAGGTTATGAGCCCTGACTGGACAGTTGGCAGTAGAATACAATTGTTTGCCTGCTACGGTGGACTGCATCATCATCTTTTTAAAACATCCCATCAACAATTCTGTGAGGACCCTTAAGATAGATCAGAGGTTGCTGTCTAGCGATCTGCTCAAAAGTCAAAACTATGAGTACTGGTTCTGGCGGATGCAGACAGTCTTGCAGAAGGCAGGCTGTCTCTAGGCAATCATGAAGGATCTTCCAGCAGTGGACACACCTGGCTATGCTGCGAAAACACATGATGCTGTCCGCCCGGCCGTCAGGGTGATGGATTCAAGGCAATGACCTGGATCCACTTTGCCTTGCACTTTTTAATACAGGGCGATGGATGACATACAACAAAGGTCACACTTGGCAAGAGAACATCAGCCTGCCAACTAAGATCAATTCAGTATTCCTTTAATGAATAAAGGGAATCGAATGCTGCTAAAAACAATGAATGTTGAAAAACATAGGTGGCACCACATTGCTCACCCTCTGATCCACATAAAGCCTTGAGGAATCATAAGACATTATTGGATGGCATCCCAGTAGCTTAAGTACTCAGTCCATTGCTGGCACAGCAAGCTGACGTATGGATGCGCAAGAAGCCCATGACCCAACCTCTTGCTGTTTTGGACATATAGGCATTATAGGCTTAATGCCAGAAGCGGACGAGGATAGCAAAGGCATCCTTTGATAGCGATGAGCATGCTTTTACAGACGTGATGTATCACGTGCATCTTTTTATGCATTCATGATAAGATGCGAATACATGTTGCATTCAATATTCATCATGTCCCATTGCAGAAGGGCACGATGTATGGAAAGAGGCACGATGTATGGAAAGAGTGGAGTGGCTGATGAACAGGCCTGTTCATCAGCCACTCCAAAATCACACCTTCTGGCATTGGCCTAGGCCAATGCCAGAAGGTGTGATTTTGGAGTTCAAGGACCAATTAATGAGTGGTTGTGTTATATCTTACTAAACCACAACTGGATGGTGGCATGGGAAGACACCGATTTGGAAGTTTCGCCCGCTTATTACTTGAGTACTGCTGAAGTCGCAAGTCACAAGTTGCAAGTCGCAAGTTGCAAGTCGCAAGTCGCAAGGAACACGCATAATTTCTATTATAATATTCTATATACACGAATACATATGATCCCAAAATGGGAGAAGTATTGAACCGTTACTACTACAGCAAACAAGTGCACGAAAACCATGCAAGTTTGATGAGATCGCTGCACAGACGCTGGTGGAGCTGGTGCAGGCTCTCCGATCTGGCCACCGCTATGACAAACTTACTGGGCACTCTTTGGAGCAGCCCTGATATTAGCCGTGCATTGTCTGAGCTGGGTTCGTCCGCAAGAAGGTTTTTACCAGGGAATCAGTTCAGCTGGCATTCAGCTTGTGTGACAATATGTTCAAATGGCCCAGAAGCCTCCCACTCTGTAACAATTCATTTCAATCTCGTGAGCTTGTGCGTGCGCACATGTGTGTGTGTGTATGTGTGTGTATGTGTGTGTGTGTGTGTGTGTGTGTGTGTGTGTGTGTGTGTGTGTGTGTGTGTGTGTGTGTGTGTGTGTGTGTGTGTGTGTGTGTGTGCGTGTGTTGCAAGTATTTGACCGTGCCTGAAACTGGCCAGGGACTGCTGCCCAGCCCCAACAGAAAGACCACCTAAGCTCCTCCCGCAGACAGGAGAGGGGCATAAGGGGCCTCTGTCCCCTCCTAGGCAGCCGAGAGCCGCAGGTCCACTATTCCACTCTCT